GGCGGCTTGTTTTACAACATCGTTGCCAAGCGACGAAAACCCAACCCCGATGGCAAACACCGAGGGGGGGGGGGCATCTCTTGTGGAGATGTGCACACCAACCCCTTTCTGCCGTTCAGAGCTCCATCTTCCCTGTGGTATCTCTTCCGGTTTACTCGCGCTCCGCTCGCTATCCGCAACAGAGCTATCATTTACACCACCAGGTGGTCTCTTCAGCAACACATGTGCATCAAACCATCGAAGCTTCTTGCTGTGAGTGTACATTTGACCACGAAAGGCACCCGCGTCAGTTCAACGGGTACGTAACGTTAAGAGAGTCCTGGGGACTGGTTGGTTTTATAATGGCAACAACTCAAGAAGCCTTTCCAGACTCGACTTTCGACTCACGCACAATGTGCCTCTGGTATTGTTCAGCCGAGATAGTCTACAGACCCTACACACGGCGGTGCGGTACAAAGAGACCATTATGATAGTCGGCCCAAATTACAGCGAAAAGTTAGGCCAGAGGTTTGACTACCAACAAACAGCGAGCAGGGTGCGCGTGCACTATGCATTGAAGTTCGCAATCCGTGGCAGGTCGCTGACGAGCCGCAACCGTTGACCGTTGGACCACACGGCTGCAAAAAAAAAAGGTGTGTTGTTGAAGAAAATACTGCCCTCTGCTGTTAATTGCGCCCCGCCGCCTCCATAGTGGCGGCGGCATGCGGTCCAGGCAAAACGAGGCAACACGTACACAACCCTACGCTTCAGCAGTATTAGCAACACCTTCTTGCGAGAGTTCTCCGTCCAACAAAGTCTACTTCGAGAATCGTCACTACTGCTGTGCTGCTGATGCACAGGTTCGAGGTAAACCCAGCGATAGGCACTGGGCCCTTGAAAGGGCCCGGAAAGACTTTATGATGTAAGAAAAACAAAATGGAAGCCGTATTCATGGTCTGGTATTCGGAAAGCAAACGAGAAGAGACGGACCGAGCGGCGCTATACGTGCCGGATTGAACTTCTTTTAGCCAATTCCCCCTCCCCAAACGCTGCACCATTGCCCCAAGCCCCCACTGGTGATGACGTACCATTACAATGTATCGCTGGTTGATGGCCATGTTTGCGTGTTTGCTTGTTCGTTAGTGGTCTCTCCACCGCGTGCCTTTTTCTGTCTCTTACTTCTTGTTATTTTCGGCCTGGTCCCTTTTTGTCCTCGCTCTTTTTTCATTTCATTTTCTCTTTCCTTTAGGCCACTTGTTACGCTGTCTCTTTTTGAGCTGTCCCTTTTCTCAAAAAGGGACAACTGACCAAAAACCACTTGTTACGTGGTCTTTTTTTGCGTTTTTGAACCTCCCGAAAAGGGACAGCGAAAAAAGATCACCCCATCCTGTCCCTTTTTGGGCAACTTTGTGACAGGGTAGCCCTGTCCTTTTTATGTTGTCCTTTTTTTGAATCTCGCGACACCGTGGACACACCCACACACCCACCAGCATCTCCCATGTGGAAGTGGCTGCCGTCTCTGGCGCTGCTCGCTGGCAGCAGCAGCGGCGCTTGCTTGACTCTAACCTTCAACAGCAGCCCGGGCTCTCTTCCGATGGCCGCCGCCGGTATGGATGCCCTGCTGCCAGCAACGGCGTTGGCCGTGGCGTTGGTTGCGGTAGATGAGGTCCAACGCAACGACTTGTCGCAGGAGGACCTCCTGGAGGAGGATCCGGCCAACGACCTGCCCCGCGAGAGACTTCCGCGGTCGCAGAGACATAGGAAAGACGTGGAGACATGCGCTTGGGCACAGCTGTTGGAGGATAAAGACCTCGAGGACAGCACGAGCATCACCGCGAAGCAGTTTCGAGGGGACTTCCGCGTACCCGGTACGCGCGGGTACGCGGAAGTCCCCTCGAAACTGCTTCGCGGTGATGCTCGTGCTGTCCTCGAGGTCTTTATCCTCCAACAGCTGTGCCCAAGCGCATGTCTCCACGTCTTTCCTATGTCTCTGCGACCGCGGAAGTCTCTCGCGGGGCAGGTCGTTGGCCGGATCCTCCTCCAGGAGGTCCTCCTGCGACAAGTCGTTGCGTTGGACCTCATCTACCGCAACCAACGCCACGGCCAACGCCGTTGCTGGCAGCAGGGCATCCATACCGGCGGCGGCCATCGGAAGAGAGCCCGGGCTGCTGTTGAAGGTTAGAGTCAAGCAAGCGCCGCTGCTGCTGCCAGCGAGCAGCGCCAGAGACGGCAGCCACTTCCACATACATGGGAGATGCTGGTGGGTGTGTGGGTGTGTCCACGGTGTCGCGAGATTCAAAAAAAGGACAACATAAAAAGGACAGGGCTACCCTGTCACAAAGTTGCCCAAAAAGGGACAGGATGGGGTGATCTTTTTTCGCTGTCCCTTTTCGGGAGGTTCAAAAACGCAAAAAAAGACCACGTAACAAGTGGTTTTTGGTCAGTTGTCCCTTTTTGAGAAAAGGGACAGCTCGAAAAGAGACAGCGTAACAAGTGGCCTTACTGTTTCCATTAATTTCTTCTGTTTTTCTCTGATTTCTTCTTTTTCTCTGCCAGATGGCCTTGTCTCTGGTTGCGTTGTGAAGTACCAAAAAATGGAACCGAGGGGGTGTACCCCTTCCTCTCCGGCCCGTGATGGTGACTCATAGTCTCAGTTGTTTTACCTCGCATGGCGCGCAGAGGGAGTGGAGGACTCCAGAATATCTGTCGTTGATTTCTTTTGACTTGCGGACCCCTCGGGGCCAGTGTATTTGAGTGTACCCTTTTAGGATAAGTTAGCCTGCGACCACGGGAATCGACCGCGTCGAGTGTTGGATCAGTACGGACATACGAAGGTACTGGGTAGAGAGAGATCGGAACGGTTTCTAATGTGAAGACAACAACAACAACAATCGTACAAAATATCCATAGGCAGGCCCGTGACCAAAGGCGTCCGCGCCAGGATTACGGCTCTTGAGAGATATGCTAAACTACTGCTGTGCAGATCGGAACGGTTTAATGTCACAACAGCAAGAGGCACGTCGGGACCCAGAACGACCGTGAATGGGAACCGGCCGGGGATTTCCAGCATTACGCATGCATCGAATAGTTGGACCGAGAGACCAACGTTTGTCGCCAACACCACCGCTGAAGGGCAAAAATGCGCACACACCACACCGAGAGCGCCTAAAATGATGGTGTGCATTAAATACCTTCAGCGGGGCGAGGCGTGTTCTTACACTGCTCACTATTCAAAAGAATTGTTGCCCGACTGCACACAGGAGGAACTTCGGAGCGGATGGTGGACAAATCTATACAACAAAAAATCAGAGGGGCCGCGGGTATCCCACCGAACAAAAACTGCTACACGGCGCGCGCCGCTGGTTGCATGACTTGTGTTCGCGATGACAGGAAAAAAGGGATCGGGGTTGTGTTGTTGCGCTGGTCCCCAGCCGCTGATGAAAGCGCGCCGGCACACAAACACGCAACAGAAAAAAGAAGACAAAAAATGGGTGTGGCCGCGCCTTTTTCACAGGTCAGACAGAATGGGGTACATAATATTCTCGTGTTTGATACACACACAACGGACGAACAAATGAGGGGTGCACAGCAGCCGTGCACAGCTCTGAGGAAGTCTACAAATCTGGTTCTTTCATACATTTTGTCAGTTGACAGCATAGGAGAAAGGTTAAGATTGAACCAACCGGCTAGAAGCTAGCGACCAGACAGACACATGCCATATCCTGCTGTCAACAATGAGACACGCGTGGGAACGCCCCACTCCTGCCGTGCTGTGGTGCTATGTCCTACGCGCGCTTGGCTGTGTTCCCGATCACCACCTCTGTGCCACCACCACCTCTGTGCCGGTGAGCTTTCCTCTGTGGGTCTGTCGATCCCGCCAAAGCCAACGCGCACGCACGCACGCACGAAGCAGATCACTGCGGGTACTAATCCCAACAACAACAACTAGCAGATGAGCGAGATTCGCAAATTTATTACCCGCGGTGCTCTATACTGAAAAACAATCAAAACCTCTGTTCCCGCTCCGCTCCATAATTAGTTAGCCGAACAACAATCAAATTTGGCACAATAGCGGAAAATTTCGTTGGATTATTCTACCTGCTGCTGCACGCGTGATTCTGCTCTGACGAGCGCGCTACCAACAAGAGCGGCCGAGGGGGTAAGCAGCAGTAAAATATAGAGACTTGATGCTTTTCGAATGCAACGAATCAATCATGTGTCCCATGAGACAGACCCATGTGTCGTCGTCGTGGTCTGCAGAAGGAAAAAAAGCTGAGTATCACCACGAGACCCTCTGCTGATGCTCTTTGTTGGGCTGTTATTCGTTGCCTCGAAGCGGTTCATCTTCGCTCTTTTTCCTCTCTCAATATATCTGCTAAATAATTGTGGGGCCGTCGAAAATACGAGTCACGGCAGGTCGCCAACAGCCTGCAAAATGTGGACGACAGCTGCGGTCCCCGTGTGCACTCGTTCTGCCGGGCTAACGCGTCGTCGATACTGTGTGCCAGCAGCGGCTAGCTGGCCCCGCACGCATGCAACAAACGCGCATTGTTGGCGCTGATTACATTGGATCGTTGAACACCAAACAACAAAGCGCAGCCGAGAGGGGGAGAGCTATAGTGGGCACAGGACTTCAGTAACCTTTGGCCTGCCCCAGGCCCACGAAACGCACGCACACGCCCTGTAGCGGCCTCCTCCGGCGCACGTTTCAAGCCTAGCTTGCGCATGTCACTCACGTTCTTTCTGACTTGGGAGGCTTCCTGCTGCTGCCGTCCGCAAGCGCTGGGACGGGAGGGCTGTCACCTTCCTGCTGCTGCGATTTGGGAGCAGCAGCAGCAGTCGACCGAAAGAAGAGACCTCTTGCGGACTTGCCCTTCTTTCCCCAGCCGGGCTGCTGCTGCTGCTGCTGCTGCTGCTGCGTGGAACCCTTCCCTTCTTCCCCTCCTCCTCCTCCCAACGATGCGCTCGACGGCGGCTGCAATCCCCCAGTTGCATCGCTCATGTTACGGCTGCCCCTGTGGCCCTCGGTGCCTTCGGCGAAGTCGCCACCCGCGACAGGCGAGGAGGATGTATTATTGTTGCCATCCTGCTGCTGTTGTTGATGCTGGCGGTTTGTCGGGCGAAACAGATTAATGTCGGTCGAAGCTCTCGTCGCTCGCACGAACTTTTCATCGTCCAATACCATCTGCGCCCCCCACCGCTTGCCGCGAGCGAGGCGAAACTGCGACTCTAACCCTGCCCCTGACCCCCCAGGTTCGCAGGCGCACTCCTGTCGGGCATCAAAGAGTGTGGAGTTTCTTTTTTTTATTGCTCTCGAATGGGGGGGCCGCAGATTGCGCAGAACAGGTATGTTGTTTCAGGACGCGGGGCTTTGGAGCGATGGACGAACCATGGATCCATGGCGATGGGAGCAAACCGAAGCAGATTCACACAGCAGGAAGACGCAGAGACTGACGTGAATCATGCAGGTATGACTTGGGCGGGGGGGGTTGCGTCGTCCTTGATTGCTGCTGCTTTTCCGCGATCTTGGTGGGACTTTGGTGGAAGCAAGGCATGTACACCACACGGGAGCTTTCCAACCTTGATCGTTTGTGTCAGTGAGTAAACCTGCTGGCTGCCCGCTGTGCAATGAGCGAGCCAGTGACGATAGAGTACTCAAGGCTCGTGCCGCTGAACCACCGTCTACACAATGGTGCCGCCTGCCCGCCTGTGCAGAGAGCATGTAATTGCTTTGTGAAGAAATTGCGTACCCAAGCAAAGTGTGTCCACACCGTCACACGAGTTTTTGGCAACCTTCGCGCGCGCTCCCACCAGCAGAGAGGGGTCGGTAGAGGGGTCGGTAGAGGACTCGCCGCCACAAAGCCTGCCTGGATGACAAGCGGGTCTGTTGCGCCATTATTGGGAGGGCTCAATGGGCGAGGCGGACCGGCGAGCAGCAGCCATGGCAATGGGTGAGACATAAGCAGAAGCCTCGGGGAGCAGCAGCAGCAGCAGGCGCTCCGTCTGCTGCTTTGTGGCAAACACGCCTATTTCTTGGAACACAGCACCAGCACCAGCAGCTGTTTATGCCCGCCTTTTGCAGCACAGGAAGAAGCTTGGTTCAGAGACGTCTACTAACGAAGCACCGCCCTGGTAAAGCAACCCACAGCAGCCGAGTATCTGGATGGTTGCTCGCACGGAAATAACATGAAACGGCGTGTTTTTCTGTTTTTTCCCTCCGCTACGATAGCAGCAGTACTGCGCACCCGTCTCCACGGTAAATTGATCTCTGTTGCTCACGAACAACGCGACAGAAACCGCAGTCGAGAGCAGCAGCAGTCAAGAAGCAGGAGCAGGAGCAGGAGCAGGATCGGGCGGCAGAACAGAGGCGGCGGGGGCCGCGAGAGGTCACGACGCCGCTCCGACTCACGCGACCGGAGGTCTAGGTCTAGATCGAGGCATAGGTCGGACGATAGGTGGGTTGGGGTTTGATCGGCCGAAGTGCACTCGGAGATGTTTTGTCTAGGTTCGCGGGTGGTACGCACGAACGGAAAATTCTTGCTTTCACGTTAGGTATTGGACGTGACGGAAGAGACGTGTCGTTGTATGTCGTATTGTTTGTGTTGGTTCGAATCAAGTGCAGCAGCGGCCGGGGTATGTGGTTAAGGCAGGCGACGTGGGAAAGTTGATTCTCTCCGGAACGCAACGCGTTGTCGCACGCTAAGAGGAATCAAAAAGACTTCCATGGGTTGGGCTATGCCACGCGCATCCGAACCGGTCCATCCTGCTTGCCCAAAAGAGCAAGCTGCTTGTCCACTTGTCGACCCATTCGAACGCATAGCACGTGCTTCCAACCCCTGCCCATGCCCGATGTATTGGAGCACGAGATGAAGGTGAAATAGTACTACGAGGACTTCTTGACGAAACCCTAGAGTCATCATGCGCAGCCGTGGATCGCTAGTTGTACGACTGCTTTAGGCCTTCTTCCCACCGATGAGAGGCGCGTCGCGATGCATACCTCCTTGGAAACCCCCCCCCGGTGTTTGCCGTCGGGGTTGGGTTTTCGTCGCTTGGCAACGACGTTGTAAAACAAGCCAATTCACTTCGTGAACTCGGCAACCAGGTTACCGGGGTTTTTTTTACCTCCGGTTTTTTTTTTGGTGGTAACAATAATGGTGGCCGAGTAGATCATGTTGTGCGGGGTGGAGAACCCTCGCTCCGCGCAAGGGGGATGATCGCACCACGTTGTGTTAAAATGGTCAAGCACCCTCGAGGCAGTTACACAGTGC